GGGGGGGGTGTAGTAATTATAATCCTAACAAAATAAGAAAGGTATATTTAATTATGTATCGAATGAAAAACTCTATTTTTGGCTGGTGAAAAACCCACCAACACAAACACCCAAAACTTGGGTTGATAATTGAGTTGAGTTGAGTTTTAATGCTCAATTTTTCGAACTTGTTTTTTAAATAAGTTTACAAAATTATTTAAATTTCGCTCATTTAAAAAATGAGTTGAGTCGAACTGAGTTGAATTTGAGTCGAGTCCGAGTATGTTAACTATTTTACATATAAACGAATTAAATTTACGGGTTTAAACTTATTTTTTTTAAAGGAGCCTAAAAAATTATTTTAGTCCTATCTAGACCAGTGGGCAAGGTTGCCAACAACTGGTGACTGGTTTTATTAAACCACCTTTGTTATGGGTCCTCTATAAAAAAGATAGTGTCGAGACTGTAATGGGGTATGAATAAAGGATGGCATTGTGGTATTGAAAAATGAATGTCATCTGATAGAGGTAGAGTTAGATTATTCATGATCGATAATGAATTATTGTGATCGAATATGAATAATTTTAATCGATTATAATTTTATATTTAAAATATGTAATTTAATTTTTAAAAATTATAATTTTACACGACTACTCGTAACATTTACAATCAATCATATCATTTGTAATTATAATTTACACTTTAAAAAACAATAATTTAATTTTAAAAGATAATAATGTTTATTACAATATTAATCTTAGTAATATAATTTTTACAAATTATATTACTAAGATAATTTTCCTTTGGTATATATTAAAGAACCCGCCGCAAAACCCCGGCTCTGTTCTCTTTCTCAGATACAAAACGGAAGTGAACCAACCACTCTTTTTGAGCTCTCTCTCTCTCTCTCTCTTCGCTGCCCGTCTACTCATTCATGAATTCCTGGGTCACCCTCACAGCCTCACTGGTGGTCCTTCTCTCCATCGCCTCACTTCCTCTGCTCAAGAATCACTGTACATAATCATCTCTCTCACAAGCTACTCTCTACTTCCATTCATTTCAACTGTCAAATTAAACCCTGAAGTTCACAAGAACATACCTTGTCTGTTGATTTTTTTTGCAGATTTTCTGAATTGGAGACCATGGTGGTCGTCAAATTCAGTAGTAGCAGATTTGTTGGTGACTAATGGGACTATATACACGAGCGATGACTCTCTTCCCTTCGCTGATTCCATGGCCATTCTCAATGGTCGAGTTCTTCGGGTTGGAAACTATTCCTCCCTCAAGGTTATCATCTTCAATCTCCTTTTCATTCTTTTATTCAAATTACCAATTGTGATGTTGAGCTACAGGTGGTTATATANTCCCCCCCCCCCCCCCCCCCCTCTCTGTGGAATCTTTGGTGTTTTGCGGCCAAAATATTTCTCTTTCTCTGTCTGTGTGTGTGTGTGGAATCTTGGTGTTTTGCAGCTAAAATATTCCAGGAGAAATTGCTAGGGCCGGAATGGAACGATTTTTTTTGTAGTTTATGATTTGGATATGAACTAAAAAAGAAAATTAATGCACTAGTAATTATAAACCCCCCCCCCCCTGCTCTCCCCTTTTTATTTTTATTTTTGGGGGGGGTGTAGTAATTATAATCCTAACAAAATAAGAAAGGTATATTTAATTATGTATCGAATGAAAAACTCTATTTTTGGTTCGTGAAAAACCCACCAACACAAACACCCAAAACTTGGGTTGATAATTGAGTTGAGTTGAGTTTTAATGCTCAATTTTTCGAACTTGTTTTTTAAATAAGTTTACAAAATTATTTAAATTTCGCTCATTTAAAAAATGAGTTGAGTCGAACTTAGTTGAATTTGAGTCGAGCACGAGTATGATAATTATTTTACATATAAACGAATTAAATTTACCGATTTGAACTTATTTTTTTTTAAAGGAGCCTAAAAAATTATTTTAGTCCTATCTAGACCAGTGGGCAAGGTTGCCAACAACTGGTGACTGGTTTTATTAAACCACCTTTGTTATGGGTCCTCTATAAAAAAGATAGTGTCGAGACTGTAATGGGGTATGAATAAAGGATGGCATTGTGGTATTGAAAAATGAATGTCATCTGATAGAGGTAGAGTTAGATTATTCATGATCGATAATGAATTATTGTGATCGAATATGAATAATTTTAATCGATTATAATTTTATATTTAAAATATGTAATTTAATTTTTAAAAATTATAATTTTACACGACTACTCGTAACATTTACAATCAATCATATCATTTGTAATTATAATTTACACTTTAAAAAACAATAATTTAATTTTAAAAGATAATAATGTTTATTACAATATTAATCTTAGTAATATAATTTTTACAAATTATATTACTAAGATAATTTTCCTTTGGTATATATTAAAGAACCCGCCGCAAAACCCCGGCTCTG